AGGTCTGAGCCACCTCTGTTCAGGTTTTCAGCCCATTTCTAGTTATCTCCAATCAAGCCATGAAAAGTTGGAAGTTGAAGTTGTGGCTCAAGAGGTGGAGAGCCAGCCCTAGCCTTGAGTGAAATAGCCTAACAAGTGGAGAAGGTCCTGAGTCTAAGCCCTAGTACCAGTATGTGTGTGTGTGGTGTGTGTGTGCGCGCGCACACGGTGTGTGTGTATGTGTGTGTGGTGTGTGTGTATGTGTGGTGTGTGTGTGGTGTGTGTGTGTATGTGTGTGTGGTGTGTGTGTGTGTGTGTCTGTGTGTGGTGTGGGGTGTGAGCTGAAGGCTCCATGCTTGCTAGGTAGGTGTTTCACCGCCTTGGCCAGGCCCCCGGAACACACTAGAGTGTGTTATTGCGTTTTTACCCTGGCCTGGCCTGTGATCTCTCTAGTCATGTCTCCACCCAGCTGCAACACCAGGAGTCCATCACCACGCCTGGCGGTGGGCAGGGGCCTGGAGGCTGGCGTGAGCCTGGCGGTGGGCAGGGGCCTGGAGGCTGGCCGTGAGCCTGGCGGTGGGCAGGGGCCTGGAGGCTGGCCGTGAGCCTGGCGGTGGGCAGGGGCCTGGAGGCTGGCGTGAACCTGGCGGTGGGCAGGGGCCTGGAGGCTGGCGTGACCCGTGATCTGCCTGGCTAGCTACTGCCATGCGCATCCCCGGGGCATTGTTAACGGGAAAGAGAACAGCGTGTGAGAGAGGGGGAGAGCGGTGAGGGGGGAGGAAGGAGGGAGAGGCAACTCAATAAAAATGGTTTCTTTTGGGCAGGCTAGGCCCGGGGTTTCTGAGGATGGTAATTCTGCCCACAGCTCTCCTGGGGGGGGGGTAGGCAGGAAAAGGGAAACACGCGGTGCAGAAGAGGAGCCGAATGGAAGCTCATGCTGGGCAGGGGACCTCACCGGCAGAGCGCACACCCGTCCAACCAAAGGTGGGGCTTCTCTGGGGCTCGTGGGCAGGGAGAGGGGGCTGGCCGGTGGCCAGGCGGGTCTGGGCATCCCCCCCCCCCCCCCCGCCCTCCCCACCTACCCAGTAGAGCACGTCGGTCCAGCCCTCCATGGTGATGCACTGGAACACCGTCAGCATGGCGAAGGCGAAGTTGTCGAAGTTGGTGATGCCGTGCTTGGGCCCCTCCCAGCCGGGCCGGCACAGCGTTCCGTTCTGACACTGCCGCCCGTGGCCCGTCTCCAGGGCGCAGGGAGAGGGGTCCTCCTCCACGGGGACGTCTGGGAGGAGGGAGAGGGAGCGAGGAGGACAGGAGTGAGAGAGAGGCCTGGCGGGGCCGCACAACGCACAGCCGGCCTGAGCCCCAGCGGCCCCTCAGCTGGGAACATTTCCTGAAAAGGAATAGGAAGGTCCTTCCCTCCTTCCTCCCCTCCTTCCTTCCCTCCTTCCTCCCCTCCTTCCTTCCCTCCTTCCTTCCCTCCTTCCTCCCTCCCTCCTTTCCCTTTTTCCTCCTCCCTCCCTCCCTCCTTCCCTCTCTTTCCTTCCTTTTCCTTTCCTCCCCTCCCCCTCAGGTAGATGTGGGCTGCCACGCTTCACACCCAGCTGCCCGCACCCCGTGGTGCTGTCCGGCCGTGTGCCCACCCCATCTTCCACGTGTGCTATGGGGGGGGGACGCAAGTCACTCCACAGGGAAGCCTTCTGAATACAGGGTGGGGGGCGGGCGTTGGCACCGTCCAGGCGCAGTGGGTCCACGGCGGCGGTGGGCTTTGCGGCCATTCACGCACCCCGGGGAACAGTGCGGGCCGCACCTGACCAGGCCCAGCGGGACCAAGCCCTGCCCTGCGCCCCCCAGCCCCCCCACGCCCGGAGGAGGAGGGTGGCTTCCTGACCCTGGATGGACTCTTGTAGGAAGTGGTGGCAGGCGTCTCCGGCTGGGGAGCTGATTCTGTGTGTGTGTGGGGGGGGGGCTGGCCGCACAGCCCAGAGGTCACTGTGAAGGTCAGTAAGACCCGGCACTTCCGGCGTCAGCCGAATGACCCACGCGGTCCAGGCTGCCGTGGAGACGGCGAGGGAGGACCCACGCAGCGTGCACGGCTGGAAGGGGGCAGGGCTGGTGGGCCATGGTGAGGGCCGGGCCCAGGCGGGGGCTGGAAGGGGGCAGGGCTGGTGGGCCGTGGTGAGGGCCGGGCCCAGCCAGGGCAGAGGCTGGAAGGGGGCAGGGCCGGTGGCCGCCCCGCTGCGCTGAAGGGGGGCAGCGCCGCTCCATCTGGGGACGTGGAGGCACCCAGCGCCCCGGGTTCTTTCACGAGAGCCAAGCGGCCCCAGGGGCGCTGGCTTTGGTCAGAGGACGCGGCCCCTGGCCGGCTCTCGTGGGGCGTGGCTCCCAAGCGGAACCATTCACTCCGAAGGGGGGAGTGAAGCATGAGCCGTCCACGGAGAAAGGTGCTATGGCCGAAAATGCGGGTCTGCAGCCTTCCAGCCCTGAGGGCTTCTGACTCCTCCTCCTGCTCCTCCTCCTCCTGCTCTTCATCCTGATGTCCTTTTCCTCCTTGTCTTCCTCCTCCTCCTCCTCCTCTTCTCCTTTTTCTTCCCCTTCGACTCCTTTCCTGTCTCCAGTCTGCCCCTCGTTCCTGCCCCCAACAGCCTGGTCTGCTTTCTATCTTCACTGTGTTTCTGGAAGGGTCTGCCTTCACCGCTTTTCCAGAAGGTTCAAATACATAACATCATCTTGCGTGGTGCCTCCGTGTCCATTGCCTTCCCTCGCCCCCGCGACGCTCCCGCCTCCTCCTGCGCGGCCGCAGGCTGTGTTGCGTGGCGTGTTCGTCCGTTCGCCGGTGCGCGGACGCCGGGCTCATGCCGGGGTTGAGGTGACTCGGCGCCAGGCCGGGCGCCTTGCTCCGTGGCCAGCGTGATGAGTCCGCAGCACTGAGTGCTGAACCGGCTCTCCCCTCCTTGCCAGAGTGGGGCCCTTGAAGGAGCAGCTGCCTCTAGTCTCCCCTCTCTGTGACTCTTGAAATGGCCAGAGCCTTCCAGATTAAGATGGGAGATGACATATTGAAAGAAGAGAGCCGCCAGGCGCCGGTGGCTCATGCCTGTAATCCTAGCTACTCAGGAGGCTGAGATCGGAGGATCGCGGTTCAAAGCCAGCCCGGGCAGGAAAGTCTGTAAGACTCTGATCTCCAATAAACCACCAGAAAACCGGAAGTGGCGCTGTAGCTCAAGTGGTAGAGCACCGGCCTTGAGCTGAAGAGCTGAGGGACAGCGTCTAGGCCCTGAGTTCAAGACCCACGACTGACAAACGAAGAAGAAGAAGAAGAAGGAGAAGGAGAAGGAGAAGGAGAAGGAGAAGAAGAAGAAGAAGAAGAGAGCCCAAGGAGCAAATCCCATCCCTAAACATCACAGGAAAAAAAACACCATGCTCCTAAGAAATGACAGTGGAGAAACTGGAAAATCAAGAACCAAAGAGATGGTCAATGCGGTTCTAGAAAGAGCTTTCTAGAGTATGCATGAGAGAACAAGGTGGGAGATGGGAGGGGAAAGAGAGGGTGAAGCAATCCCACCGCAGCCATCCCGGGAAACGCGCACTTCTTCCTTGCGCGGGGTCTGCGCTTCGTGGCGTGGAGACGCGGCCTGTCTTGTACCAGGTGACAGCTCCCCTGCCTCCTCCTCTCAGAAAACTCCAGAAGCGAGGGGGAGGGGCAGGCTGCCCAGGCCGGTTCTGAGCATCTTCAAGGAAGGAAAACATGCCTGCGGGTTTTACGACTGTATGTTAGAAAGAAGATGGCGTGTGTGGAGAAGGGACCTCGTGAACAAGAGAGAAAGGGGTGAGATCCAGAAAGATGATGCACAGGTTCAGGTACTGCTCTGCTGTCTTAAGTCTGTCTTGAACGACAAGAAGAAGATCGGAGAACAATTAAGAAGCAGCGACGGCCTGGTAAAAATAGGCGTCTATATATAATAAGCGAGACCAGGAACACTCAAAACCCACGAGTGCACACGCGCAGGCAAGCGGGTCTTAGCAACGCACGCTCAGAAGCGGGAGCAAGCTGGTTGAACTCGAACTCGTTTTCTTCTGAGGAGCTGGGAATTGCCGGGGTGAGGGGGTGGGGAGGAGCCGTGGGGGCTCAACCTTTAAAAACAAACGGAGGGAGGCAGAAAGCCAGTGCGGAGAGGCCATGCCAGGGGTCTGGTAAAACCCCGGAGGCAGAGAACAAGAGGGGACTGAGCGGCCCGCACGGAAGACAGAAATCCATTACATCCCGAGGTCCTGACTTTCAGGAGGGAAGGGAAGGCAGGTGGTTCTATTGCCAGGTTCGGTGGAGCAATTCCGCTCCTGTCTCTGGGGGTAATTACTGTGCTTGAAGAGCTACTGAACAGTCCTGGCACTGAGAACCACCGGACAGATGGGACGGACAGAAACAAAAGGTCTCAGCATATGGCGCTGTACCTGCCGAGAAAACAGAGAGACCAAGGGGGGCCCGGCAGGCCACGGCGCGCTGGATGGCCCCACAGCTTTCTGATATGGGCTGCATAGGAAACACGGCTCAAAATCCAGTCTATCCCAAGATCCGGACGTGCACCAAGTGCAGCCCGGAGGGAGGGAAAGCACTGAACGCCTCAAGGAAAGAGCGAGGCGGCGGTGTCTGGCTGGCCACGGTGGAGGTGGACCGGGCCCCGCCGCCGGCTGGTCGCTCTAGCTGGGTCCGTGGGTCGCCAGCGGACAGAGGGTGGAGGGAGCGGGAGGGGGACGCCCCACCCCAGAGTGTGGGCAGCTGACGTGACCCCCCCGTCCCTCGGCCCCCGTTTTCCAGGAGGGACAGTCCACACCTCGCAGGTTGCTGTCTGGCCTAACGCCGCTCCGGGACCCTCCACGGGAACCCCACTTCTCTGAGCTCCTGTTCGCCTCAGGGCTGGCCGCAGACGGAACCCAACAGGAGGAAGGTTGTACGCGGAAGAGGAGGCGTTATTCGTTCGTGGGCTTGAGATTTATCTCAGCCAGGCTGGAGGCCTCAACGCCCCAGCAGGGGGCAAGCGTTGTTTGTTATTGGTTTTTTTTTTCCTCCCAATCAAAAAAAAAATTATGTGTTTTAAAACACGATGATTTGTGTGATACAACCCTCAGCCCCAGAAGCTGGAGATTCTCTTGACAGGAAATAGTTTCCTCTTGAACAACATTTTCCATCAAAAAGCAGGAAGGCAACCGGGTGGTTCCGTGACTGTGGATTTTTATAGGTTAGCTGTCATCTCATTTTTTAGTGATTTTTATTTTGTGTGCACGATCACGTGGCCGTCACCTAGCAACGCTGCCGGGACCCAGCCCGGGCGTCCCTCGAACCAGGCCAGACGCCCCGCCACACTCATCTATTTTGGTTTCTGGAGATGAATCGCTCGACGCCCTCTGCCTCACAGCCGCTCAGCAAAGCCGAGGGGCCGGTTTAGACTCTGATGTGGCAGCTCTTTTTCCACGCACCCCGCTGATGCTCCCCTTTTTTCTTGACCAAGGTGCCCCAAATACGGAGCATGGGTCTTGTTTGAAAAAAAAGGAAGGCATACAAATGGAACACGGCTAAACCTTTAGGTTGGGGGTATTGTTCTCTCTTCCCAGCCAGCCTGGTCCCTTACATGCACTCCCCTGCTAAACTGCTCTTGAGGTCTGTTGAAGAGCCTGTCCGTGTCTGTTCGGGTGGTTTTTCCACCGGTCGGGCTGAGGTGCGGGGTTCATGGAAGAGAGGCGTGTGCAGTAGCTCCTGCGAGCCCCAACCCCCAGGCTGCTCAGGGCACTGCTCCACGAGCCAGTGTTGCTCGCTAAATACACAGCTCTGCGGAAAGACGTGAAGCGGGGAGCCTGGGAAAGGCCAGGACCGGCGGTGGAGAGATGGAGCTGTCTCGGGGGTGGGGTCGGGGAGTTTGCACACCTTCCCTTCCTCCCCCCCCGGAAGGGGCCTTCCATCCCCTGCCTGGGAACGGGACGCAAGCGTGGACCGTGGAGGGCCGAGGCCAGGCCCCGGGAGGGCGGGAAGGCCTCGTGACTCAGGCGACCCCGCCACGGATCTGCCCTGTGGCCGAATCTGACTGGGCAGACACACGCGCTCACTAGCTAGCGGCCATTCTTGGGGTACTCGGCGTTAGCGTCAAGAATGTGGGGTGGATTCTTAATTTTTCAGGCGTTTCTCGCAGGGAGACGGTGTGAGGCGGCGCTGGGGCGGGGGACGCTTGCCTTTTGCAGAGATCTGCTATCATGAAAACGGAAGGGGGGATTCCGAGCGCCGGCTCTCCCACGGCCCAGCTGGCCCGGGGCTGGTGGGGGGCGGGGGACGCAGGGGGGGCAGCCTCCGGTCACGCCTGTTACCTGCAACGCCCTCCTGGCTGTAGCAGGTCTTGTGCATCTTCCCCATGAACAGCTCCAGGCCGATGATGGCGTAGATGATGATGACGAAGAGCACGAGCAGGGCTATGTGGAGCAGGGGCACCATGGCCTTGATGATGGAGTTGAGGACCACCTGGAGGCCTGCGGGGACAGAGAGGCTGCCCTGAGTCACGGTGACCGCCTGGGCCCCACGCCACCCGCCGGCCAGGGCTGGCTCAGCGCCTCCAAGGGGGCCCATCCACCACCCTCCCTTTCCGGGAAGGGAAGCAGTGGTGACGAGAGAGGGCGGCCGTGATGAAAGCCTTACGCGACCTCGCTCCTCTGAGACACAGGCCAACCAGCCTGCAGACAGCCAAGCGGGAGGGTGTGTGGGGGGGACACCAGGCGGGGTGGGGGGTGGGCAGGGGGAAATCGCACGGCTGGGAAGTATCCAGGGGCGGAGTAGATGCCGGTCCTCAGGGCTGAGGCCGTGGCTCTCAGCAGCCTTCTTGGGAACCGCTCTGGCCTGCGGAGTCCTGCGGGAGGGCAGACGCACAGCGGAGGAAGTTCCGGGGACGGATGACTGGTGAAGACCCCGGGCTAACCCGACGTCCTCTGTGGGTCCCAGGGAGCAGGGTGGACAGGAGGCTTCTCCCCGAGCTGGGCCCTCTGGGAACCTGGTTCTGCGGGCCAGGACGCCCCCTCCAAGTCCCGCACACCTGACCTCTCCGCCCCTCTCGGCCCAGCCTCGGGCGTCTGCCGTCTCTCAGGGGCCCGGGGAGTTTCTCCTTCGCATTCACCCCCCAAGGCCCTCTCCCAGCTCCCAAGGCTTGCGGTGCTGCTGGTGTGGCTTTCAAAAGGCGAATGAGAAGGATTCGCCCCAGCCATTAAGCCAAGCCGAGGAGAGAGGGAGGAAAAAAATGTAAGAGGAGAAGAGCGCCGGAGCAGCGTTACTTGAGAATTAATGAGCGTGCTTCGCAGCCTCCCCTTAGCGCACCGCGTTTCCAGACCCCAGCGATTCCATTAATTAGCAGCTGGCGCACACATTCGCGCCGAAGCATCCAGAGCCACCGAGGAAGCTGAGCGGGAAGCGGGCCACAGAGGTGACACGGCGGAGAAGAGCCCTGTAAGGGCCCCACCGCGGCCGGGCGTCAGCCCAGGGCAGGACCGTCGCTCCAGACCTGGGGGCCATGGCCTCCGGCAGGTGGAACCAGGCCGAGGGGCTGGTCAGAGCTGCCAGGGCTCTGAACCCTTCCAATGGAGCTTGGGGGGTGGGCGGGGGGATGTGGTCATGTAAAGCCGGCTCCGAGCGCAGAGCATACGGCACACTCGCAGGGAGGATCGGACTGGTTAGCTCTCTTATTAACGCACACACAGCTCTCCTGGGGCACGCTCTAGGCCTGCATGTCCCCAGCTTGCACCTGAGTGTGAAAGTGAACGATTCTACCAGCACGTGTGGTTATGCTAATCACCACCACCACCACCACCAGGCCATCGGCACACACTCATTTCCAATCTGCGTGGATTCACGTGCCCTCACTAGACCCTGGAGATAGGATGAATCTCACTTATTATGTATGTTCTGTGGCTTCTGCCTAATGGCTGTTGAAAGAAACTAGGTCAAGGAAGGAAGGGAGGGAGGGAGGGAGGGAGGGAGGGAAGGAGGGAGGAGGAGGTGGCTTTCTCCTTTCCAAGTGGTGTGCTTGTCACGTTTAGCCCAGGCACCTGACGCATCTCCTTCCTGAGGAGGGGCGTTCCGCAAAGGGAAGCGCTCTGGCGAGGTACCGGTCTTACAGTCTCAAGTTCCAAGATTTCTCCTTGGCCTGATTTGAATGCCTTTGTTCCCTGGAGATCTAGAATTCTTTTTGCTCTAACCCTTCCGCATCAGCACATTTCCGCAGCCCACGACGAGAGATCTGACGGCAGGTCCGCTGCCAGTCCGCGGCTGTCCGGAGGAAGGGAGCGTAGAGGCTGGAGGAGTTCAAGAATCTGCCTTCACGTTGGGACCCATTTGGACCTCAGCATTATGGGTGGAACAGAGGCGCTCGAAGAAACAAAGATCTAAAGAGAAGTTTTGACGTGGGAAGGGCGTGAACACGGCGGAGGGGGATGGATGGGGAGCCGCAGCCGACAGGTGCATATTCTGCACACCCTATTTCTGACCCTGATCCAGGGCGAGAGGTGAGGCTGCCGGTCTTCACCACAGGCCTCTCAGCCCCTCTGCTCCCAGGCCGGCCTCACGACCCACAGCAAGGTAGAATCTACTGGAAGATCAGAACAGGATTTACCCTCTCTTGATCCACCTCCTACTTTTGGGCCACGGACCATGCTGTAGGTGTCTGGGACCACACATTTCCTTATCATTCTTTAAAAACATTTTTTTTTTGGTCAGTTCTGGGGCTTGAACTCAGGGCCTGGGCGCTGTCCCTCAGCTCTTCAGCTCAAGGCTAGCACTCTACCACTTGAGCCACAACGCCACTTCTGGTTTTCTGGTGGTTCATTGGAGATGAGAGTCTCATGCACGTTCCTGCCTGGGCTGGCTTTGAACCGTGATCCTCAGATCTCAGCCTCCCAAGTAGCTAGGATGACAGGTGGGAGCCACCGGCGCCCAGCTCAACATTTTCTTTTTTGTTAAAAAAAAGTAAAATACAACATTCAAACAAAAAACTACAAAAATAAAAATAAAAGTGTCATAATCACAAGACCTACAGCCATTCAACTATCACTTGGGACAAAGTTTAGCCCATTCCCAGATTTACAGAAGCCCCTAGTCATGTTCTTTCCCATCAGCAATCCCCTACCTCCCCCCCCCCGCCCCCGAAAACCAAGATAATCGCCACATTACACTCCAGGAACAACTTGAACTGGAATGTACCACGGGTCTACCAGTGACTGTGGAAGATCAGCTCAGGAAATGTAGCACCCAGGAATTCCCCGGTTTGCTTTTAGTCTTCGCTGTGTTTTGCATTCCTTTGATTCTGAATCTACGCTCGAATCTCAGTGTTTTCCCGACTCTTGACAGTTCAATAATTCTGTTTTCGTCGGTGCCAAGTCTTCTTTTAAATAATCCGACTGCGTTTTCCACTTTAGGGATTCTTTCCTTCATTTCTAAAATTCGCATGTGATTCTTCTCCATACCTTTCGGGCCCCCTGGAAAATCATCAGAATGGTCTCTGACCTCTCTGAGTAGATAGTTCCTTCCAAGTGGGTTTCTGGCCCTGTGTCTCTCTTTTGTAGTTTCTGCACATTTTCATCCATTATTCTGTCTCTTTGTGTGCCTAGTTATTTTGTAGAGTCATTTATACTTTATTTTTTTGCAGAACAATTTTTCAAAATAATTAGACCACCTCAATGATAGGAGTATTTCTTCAGAGTGGATTCCTATCCGTCTCTGCCAGGCATCTTTTCTAAGCCTGAAGAAACAGAGAAGACTTAGGAGTGTTTGTTCAGCGCCTCTCACTGTCACCAGGACAGTTGGTCCACATGACCTCATCTGGTATTTTTTGAAGGCAAAAGAAGTAGGCTGCATTTCTTCAGGGAGGAAGTGTGCGGGAAGGCTTCCTGTGGTGTCTGGCTTGCTTCTTTTAGTCACAGAACTAGGGGACCGTGTCTTTCAGTGTGTGGTCATACTCCGACAAAGGGTGAGAAATGTCCGCTGGGAAAGTTCTCTGAGTGCCGGATCTTGGATAGAAGTTTCTGGAGCCTGGCAAGGCTGCACAGAAGGCCTTGTGTTTGTTGTACGCACCACAGATTCTCACTCCTTTCTTCCGGAATGTGTACAGGGCGCATCTCCGGGGAGAAATGCTGAGCTTCTCCATGGCTCTTATAGCAAATGAAGTCTACTCACTATGGGTTATTTAGTTGTGTTACTAAGACAGACCTGAAAAAGATCTTCTTTCTTTTTTTTTT